AGGAAATATATAGTTTATACTTAAAAATAACACAATTCGAAAATACAAAATTCAAAATAAAAAACATATCTTTCTAAATATTATGTAGAATTATAATCATCATCCAAGATCATTAATGTATCTCTCTCATTTATTGTTTCAATTTCATGATCTGGATTATTTATAAATTTTTCGATTCGATATTTCAATTGCTTGTTAGGTTTTTTTCTCGCAGCAGCTGTAATGCTCAGTGTTGGCCAATAACCTAAGTCATAGAAAATTTTTTGATGACCTTGGTCATATGTCTAAATGACCACTAGTTATATGCGATGCAGTCATAATTGTATGACTACTAATCATATGACTAATATGACTATTAATTATATAACTAAGGTCATTGGTTATATGACTTTATATAAGATATTTATGGAATATATAACAATAATAAAATTTTTGTTAATTTTATTTGTCAAAAAACCAATTCAGAATAAAATCGAAACAGCTGGCTAATATGCGAAACACCAATTAAGATGAACATGTGAAAATTTTACAGTATGCATTATAAAAAATGTACTTACTATCAAAAATTTTATATAGCTTTCATATGTTATTTCATAGTACAAAAAAAATATATGTATATACATAAGTTCAACAAAACTAATCTATAATTATATAAAACCTGCATTTAAAATGATGGCTTAAGTTCAATAAAACTAATCTATAATTATATAAAACCCGTATTTAAAAACAATATCAATAAATATAACAATAAAAACAACATGCATCTGGATTAAAATGATGTAATAGTGGTTATATTTGGAATAGACCTTTTTAGTACGGTTTATTATTAAAAGCAGAGGAATTTCTAAAATTGAAATTGCACGTGTAATTATCACTCTTTAAAGTTGTAATATGCATGTTAAAAGAATAGCTAATTATGAATTGAGGCATGTACGTATATATATAGCTAATTCATTAATGCCTTGAAATAACGTTCTGACATTTCTGATTGGGCTAATTCAAACAGATTCAAGCCTGAGTACCAGTTTGTGTTTATTGATTTGAATAAACTATCAAATCAATAAAGAACATGAAATGGTACTCAGGCTTGAATCTGTCTGAATTAAAGCGCATAAAGAAAGTAATACTTGGCTAGAGTGTCCAAAATTTGCAATTTCATGAACATTTTATTGTTTATTAAACAATGACAATTTCTGAAATTGTATAAGTCTAAGCACTCTATTACTTAACCCGTAAAAATTACCATGAAGAGTAGCTGGATTATTAACTATTATAGCATCATCTTGGGCGATATTAACAATATATATAATGCTTATATATTGTTTATCTGCTAAGTGTTATTGCTCTATTTCTTTGTATAAATAGAATAACTACATCGTAATTGAAATTGTCAAAGGTAAAATAAAATTTTTCTATAAAAATGAAACTTTTAAACTTGTATGAATTATAAAGCAATAATTAAAAAACTTAAAAAATCATAAAAAAATGGTTGATTAATAATGTCAAAATATAATTTTCGAAACTATTTTACCTTACTAAAGAATCTAAACAATTCTACTAATACGCTTGCTATATGCAATTGGTGTATAGCTAAAAATGGAAGTTTAGAAGCGACTAAGATTAAAGCTGAGTGTTGTACTTCAAATTGTGGACGATTATGTCAAAATCATTTATCAAAATGTACAAATTTTCTTGAAGCTAACTCTGCTGAAGAAATTGACCGAATTTTAGCATTACCAGTATTTGAGAATAAAAACAAAAAACAAGATACAGATGGTATATTTAAAATTATATATATATAATATTGCAATATAAATTGATAATTTTTTTTTGTACAGATGATGATAATAGTGACATACCTGTACCAACTTTAAAACGTAAAAAATCATCTAAACTTCTAAAATTTCACAATCAGGTGCTTTAGTATCAAATCTGAATCAACCAATAACTAAATTTCTTTGTCGTCCTATGTCATTAAATGATAAATTGCATTTTGAAAAACTTATTCTTTGAATGATTGTTTCGAATGCATTACCTTTTATGTTTGTTGAAAATGAAGAAGCATTAGCAGTATTTCAGTTTGTTGTACCAGGACTTGAATTGCCCAAAAGAAAAGTTATAAGTAATAAAGTGCTAATAGAAAGTGCAAAATCATTTAGTGATAATATTACTAAATTAGCAAGTAGCGATATAGATGAAGTAACTGCAACGTTTGATAGATGGACAAACATAAGACAGGAGCATATATGGGGGGTAGTATTTATAACAACATTAGGGTGGCCATTAATATGGAATGCATATAATATAAGTATTGAACGATCTAAAACTGAAGATGTTATTAGGCATATTGAAAACTTAATTACTGAAGCTAATTCGAAAAATATAAATATAAAAGTATTTATTTCTAATTCTGCAGGAGAATATATAGCTGCATGACGCTA